CTCAGACCTCTCCACATAGTCCTTCCCCTTTTCCTACACCACCTGAAGACAGAAGGAGAAAAAAGGCCCTGCAGATCTGATGGAGGGTTCCATTTACACCCAAAGAGGGAAAAAGCCCATTCCCAAATTGACCTCGCAAAATGGCAAGACACCAGTAGGTGAAAACCAGTTTCCCCATCCGCTTTACATAGAACACACCAATGGGGTGACAAGCAAGTATTGGGTCGCTTCTTTTGGAGTAGATCACTAGTGTTGAATCTTTCCAGATAGGCTTCCCAACAAAAACTACCAACCCTAGGAGGGATTTCTCTACACCAAACCTCATCAACAGGGAAAGGGGGGGTTACAGGACTGGTGGATTGGCTTAGGACTTTGAAAAGGGAAGCACAAGAAAAGAAGCCAGTGGGGGTTGGGGTCCAAATTCTAGAGTCCACCCTTGTGGGGTCTAAGGCAACGTTATCAAGAAGTTCAAGAAGGCTCGAAATATTAGCAAAGTCTGAATCCCTCAAGGCCCTTCTAAGACCCAAATTCCACCCAAGCCCAGAATTGGAAGAGGACGGGGTAATGAAGGATGAAACTGGCTCATTTTTAAGATTAGATAGAGCATACAAAGAAGGAAGCCGATCCCTTAGAGGGGCATTCCCCACCCAAGTTTGTTCCCAGAATTTTATGGAGTTACCAGAATTCAGATCATACCTGATATTAGGGGAGAATACTGGATGCAGATCGTGAATGGCTTTCCAAGGAGAAAAGCTTGTGGTCCTAGCTTTGATTCTAGCATCCCAACCATTGTGCTCCAGCCCATGTATTCTCCTTCTCCAAGGGAAACCTCCACAACCACTTCCCTAGAAGAGCCATATTCCTTCTTCTAACATTCCTGAGCCCCAAACCACCACAAATTTTACTCTTGGACATTACCTCCCAGCTGACTCTATGATCCCTCTTCTCCTCTCCCGGCTCCCACAAGAAACCTCTCATCAACTTCTCCAACCTATTAGATACCTTCACTGGGATTTTGAACACAGACAGGAAGTAGATGGGTAAATTAGCAAGCATGGCCTTAATTAGTGTAACTCTTCCACCAAGAGAGAGGTAATTCTTTTTCCAAGAGACCAATCCTTTTGCTCTCCCTCAGGGTTGTCACCTAATGGTAACCCTAAGTAATTCAATGGTCACCCTGACACTTCACACCCCAACACTTCTGCACTCTCTCTGATCTCTCCCTCTTCCATATTCACCCCCACTACACAACTTTTCCCAAAGTTCACCTTCAAGTTAGACATTTGCTCAAACAGTTGTATCACCAACTTCAAGTTCCTGATAAAGCTCACATTGCCACATTCACAGAACAAAATTGTGTCATCAGCAAACTGTAAGTGAGTGAGGGGGGTTTCCGTCCTCCCGACTCTCCAACCTCTAATGAGACCCCTCGAGTATGCTCTATGAATTAATTTCCCCAGGACCTCCGCAATTAGTATGAACAAGAAAGGAGAGAGAGGGTCTCCTTGTCTTATACCCCTACTGGCTGGAAAGAACTCTACCACTATCCCATTCACTAGCACTTAATAATGACAATTCCGGACACAACCCATGATCCAATTGCACCATCTAACACCAAACCCAAATTTGATCAAAACTTTCCTCAAAAATTCCCAGTCCACCAAGTCATAAGCCTTTTCCAAGTCCAACTTACATACTAGATCTTCTTCAAGACACTGGAAAGCTGGAAGCAAACCATCCATTACTCCTATTGAGGCAATCACAGTTTTGGGGACAACGAGGGTGAGATTCTCCCTAATGCTAAGCAGTTTCAGAAACTTGTTGGTAGGTTCCTATACTTACCTATAACTAGGCCTACATTGCCTATGTTGTGGAAGTTCTTAGCTAGTATATGCATGCTCTAAGGACTATACATCTTTTTGCAGCTGAACGTGTGCTCAAATTTCTAAATAAACATCCTGGATGAGACATCTTATTTTCTAAACATGGATATTTATGAGTGGAGGCCTATATAGATGCAGATTGGGCTAGATTCATTGATGATATGGGGTCCACTAGTAGTTATTGTACCTTTGTTGGAGGCAGTGTTTTAAAAGGCTTGGGAGGCGTGTGTCTCCAAGCGAGGCATCCCCCAAACACCCTGAGGCATATGCCAGAGGCGTTGATGCCTTTGAGGCATATGCCTTCTGCATGTGGTGTGCTAGAGGTGTATTCCTCATGGACCTCACACAGCCCTCCTTTCAGCTAGTGTTATGCATCTTCATTCTTCTTAATATAAAACATCTTTATCAAAAAAAGTCCTCCCCCTCCTCCTCTTTCTTCCTCATCCCCCTCCTCTTAAGGAGGCTTAGGCCTCCTTGTGTTTGGGAGGCTTATGTCTCTGTTCTGGACTACACCTCATGCCTCTAGGTAGTGGAATGTCTCATGTCATGCCTTTGCATTATAAAACTTTGGTTGGAGGAAACTTGGTGACGTGGAAGAGTAAGTAAACAGTAGTGGACCAGTTTAGTGCTGAGGCTGAATAGAGGGCCATGGCTCATGGAGTTGCTGAAATGTTTTGGCAAAAGATTATTCTTGCAGAGTTGGAATTTCTTTCTTTCTTGAGGATGGTTGTTTTAGAAGAAATTACATTCATGAAATACTAAAATTATAGGGATAATTCTTGAATTGTGTTATGATAATTGGTTATTAAGTTGAGTTCTTATTTACTGTTTAGAGTATCATAATTGGGTCTACTTATGAAGGCCCATAATTATCAATGGATATCACACTAAATAGAATGTAATGGTATATGAATAGAAGCCATATAACAAAAGAAGACTGTAGGAGAAAAGGAGGGCTCATAGGCCAAGAAATAGTTATGAATAGAGAAATAGAGAGATTGCAAGATGGGAAGAGAACTTTATTCTTCTCTTACTTGGGACAAACTAAAATTATCATAGATTAGTAATGTAAAGACAATTACAAGTAATGTGTAGTTTTGAGGCTGCACCTAGCACCTCTTTGTGGGTTGTTTTGAGGCTGCAAGTAATATAATATCAATTGTAATATGTTTGGGTTGTTTTAAGGCTGCAACTTGCGCATCTTTGTGGGAAGATAACAATGTGTATACTAATTGATCTTTAATAGAATTTCTAGTATTTATCAAAAAAAGATTTGTGATATGGATCCCAAGCTCACTTAGTAGATATATTATCCACATCAAGTCACATGTGGTATAAGCCATAGTTCTATACTTTTGCACTTTTAGCAGCCACCACTTTGCTTCTTATTCTTCCATGTCATCAAATTACCTCCTGAGAATGTGCGACAAACAAACAACCAATTGCTAATCTTCTATTAATGATGACTGAACCCAGTCTACATTGGTATTGCTTCTCACTTCAAGTCCATTCTTGTAGGTTCATGTCCTGGCCACTCTTGAAATCAACACCCTTATAACTGCTTCCAGTGAGGCACTTAGGGTTTTGCATGAATTGGATCAATAAACTAATTACAAATTTAATATAAAGCCAGATAATGGTAGATAATTTAGTTTTTCAACCAGCCGTTTGTATCTTCCAAGATTTTCAAACAAACTTCCTGGTTGTAGTGTCATGGATTAATACTGAATAATGATGCTGCACTGCTTCTATCGAAACACCTAGACTGTGCTACTGAAGTGAACAAACCATGGTTGGGGAGATTGCTTTAACTCATATATTGCCTTACTCGTGTAGACTCCCCCTAAGCAATAAACCTTTTACCAAAACAAAAAAAAAAAAAAACTAAGCAACAAACCCAGGGATTGCTCCATATACACCTCCTGTAAGTCACAATGAACGAACACATTCGTAATGTCTGATTGGTATAGAGACCACCTTAGGCTGGTAGCAAGAGAGATAATAACCTGAATAGATCCCAACTTGTCAATAAGAGAGAAAGTCTCAAGGTAATCCACAACATATGTCTTTGTGTAGCTCAACACTGCCATCAGGTAGGTATTTCACTTTATAGACCTACCTGCAACCAACAAAACACTTCTTAGGAGGAAGAGAAGTGAGATCCTATGTGTGGCTGAGATATGAGCATGGATTTCCTTTTCTATAGCCTAGTTTCAACAGTAATGGATTTAGACATAGACACAAAGTAAATTAGAGACAAGGGAAATATGATCAAAAGAAACTGCTGATCTTCCTTGAGATTAATTGATTTGTGAAATTGTTTTTTTATATTGGTAGTTTCTATTGATCAATTTCTGCATTGTTTACAGGTTGTGAATTTGCATTCTTTATCAGTAGATAGTATGACCAAGGTTCAAAATATCGATACGCCAGTATGGGCGTATTGGGTGAATCGATACAGTGTTTCAGGCTTTTTTTTTTTTTTTGCAACCGGTTCAGGGGGGCTGGTTTAGGTCTCCTCTACCCCCTGAACCGGTCAGACCTCCGATACACCCACTGTAGGGGCGTATCGGAGGGGTCCCGGAATGATGTGTATCGGCCGATAGGTGTCGATACTTTGAACCTTGAGTATGACGCACAGGTAAACCATTACTAGAAAAGAGTGAATATGAGTTTTATGGCTTTGTGTCTTTAGCTATATTTTATATGGCAACAAGCAAAATATGCTGTAAGTTAAACACAAGCATGATGTAAACATTCTGTTGCAATTTGGTTATGATTTAGTATACATCTATATCTAGGTTCTAGAGTTAAATATTTACAAGTTCCATTTTGTTGCTTGTAATGCCAAAACATGGATTTGCGTGGTCTTATCCTTTATATTATAATCTTTTAAAGCATAATGCAATTGCTATTGGTAGCATGAAGAGCTTTTAGTAATTTGCTGATATTCCCATGCTCACGATTTTAACATCTACTTGGATATGTCCATGTTATGGTGCTTTCGATTTTATTTCTGTAACCTTAAGTTTAACCATGTGCATGTGGTCAATTATGTAGTTTTATAGGTATAACCAAGTAATAGTTTTAAGTTTGTTCCTTGCGTCCAAATTCCAGGTTCACCAAGAAATATCTCCTATTGTGCTAAGAGTTATTCAATGCCTAGTTCCAATCCTTCAACATGCTGAGGTAATTTCTTTACTACTAGTGCATAAGCTAAAGTTTCCTTTTTTTTCCTGGAGTTCTATTAACAAACTCATTGTTATTGATTCTGAACAGGGGCTTAACAAATCACTCATAGAAAATAGTGCCATCACTCTTGGGAGGCTTGCATGGGTCTGCCCAGAACTTGTATCACCTCATATGGAGCATTTCATGCAATCATGGTGTACTGCTTTATCCATGTATGATATGTCTCTTTTCTTCTTTCATAGTCCTTTCCAGTAGCTGTAACTGGTTTTTATTGCATTATCTGTCAGCAAAAATAAGCATACAGTAAATTATCCAGTAGTTTGTGATTTCAGTGTTTCCAAGTACCATATGAACCTATGTACTTGTTAGATTGATCTTTTAGATATTTACTGAGGACATTAGTGGTTGTATTTGGTTTCAACCATTCTTATGACAATTTAAATCATATGGGGGTTTTATTTCCCTCAAGGGTTAATGTCTTTAAATTGGAGGTATTGAGTAATAATGTATACATCCTCCATAGTTTCAGTTCAGGAAAATTTGTTTTCCCTTATTTATCAAAAAGAAAATGTTTTCCCTTCAGTTGCTCCTAGATTTGAGTGTTTGATATCTTCAGCGTGGCTTCGGTTTTCCTTCAACAGATGCATTTTTTTTATAGTTGCATTGCTCTTCTTTCAGGGAAAGGGGCAAGTTGCTATTGTTATCTCCCATTTGGCTATAATTTTAGGCATTTAATGAAAATCTGTAAATAAAAAATCCTTCACTGTTTCTTAATAAACTAGAAAGGACAGAATCAGAAATAAACTTATTTAAAAGGAGCCTAAGAGTAGCTTCAATAGGTGAAAAAATGAGGAAACATAGGATAAGATGGTTTGGTCATGTCTAGATGACTCCATGTACAGCATGAGTAGAAGAATGATCCGTTACAAGTTTATGGTTCTAGAAGAGCAAAGGGCAGACCAAAGAGGACATGGTTTGAAGTAGTAGCAAATGGTTTAATGGCCCAGAATTTAGCAACGGATATGGTACTGAATAGAGTGGAAAGATGGAACAGGATTCATATAGCCGGTCCCATGTAGTTGGGGCTGTGACTCTTGGATGTTTCTTGGCCTCCCAATTGGTGCTGAAGCTTATTTAGTTTCTACATGGCAACCTTTAAGTTTTGAAAGATCTGGTTGAAAGTGCAAGCATCTTTCCTTGGTATCAAAGTTACTGTTATAAAGAATGTATTGACAATAATGCCCACCATTACCTATCTCTGCTTAAAGTTCTAGCCTCCATGGATGATATGACCAGAAAAGATTCAATTCTGTAATGTCAAATAAAAGAGAAGGTAAGATTTGATAGAGTTTAGAAGAATTAGGGCTGAGTAAAGCTATTCTGGGAAAGTGGCTTTGGATGTTTGGGTCGAAATGGGAAGCTTTATGTATAAAGGTATTGATCCGCAAGTATAGGTTGACCTGATTTTAATGGGTCTCAAGGACTCTTGCATGCAGTTGTGTGTTTCATGTTTTGAATGAAGCTTTTATTTTCCATTAATTGAATGAACTATTTTATATTTGCGGATTTTCTATATTTAGATTTGTTCAAGACTTTATTGTCTTAATTCCAAGGATATTTCTGTTAGCAAACACTTCCAGATTGGAAATGAGCAGGTATTTTTCTGCCTTACATTTAATTGAGAAATTGAAGAATGCATTAATATGTTGATCTGATTGTCTGCCTCAAAGAATGCATTAATATGTTTATGTTAAACTCCAATTTCCATGAGAGTAGAGGCCTTTTCTTGGCTTTTATCTCCTCATTTCTTGATTATGAATCATTTAGAACAGTAGGAGGGCTTCGGGATATCAAGCCTAGATTTTATGTGTAATACAGCCATGAGGAGAACATTGGAGATTTCTTTGTACATGGTAAATTAGCAATGGATCCTTCTTTGTTGGTCCAGTACTGGCCATGAATCTTCTGGAGTTCCATTCTACTTGCCATGTTTTGAAATTATGGAAGGACAGGAATAGAACTATTGCTGATATTAAGTCTCTTATCATGTAGTTGGTAAAAAGGCCATTTACCCAATGTTTTTCACAGCTGTCTGGGGTCTTGAGAAGGTAGACTGGAGCTTGCATTCTCCCACTCTCAGACTCAAGCTTGCATTGTCCCACTTCCCAGTCTAATGTTGCTCCCAGTTCTCTGGGGTCTTGGGAGGGGATAGACTGAGACTATGCTAACCTTTGGCATTTGTTTTTTGCACAAAGTAGTCATTCTTAAACCCAAACCAGTATTCTCACACTTGCCAGCCTGAGATTTTATCATTACACCAAGCAATGCTCCCTATCATTATGTAGTTGGTAGTCCATCCAAATTTGTGATCTATATTGGATATTGGTGTTGATGATGATGATGCATTTTATATCATGAGAGTTCGGTTTGAGAGACGCTTTAGTTTTGTTTACCAAGAGATAAACTAATATGGTGTATAGTGTTATAATGGGCTTTATAATATAGAACATTTTCCTTTTTTAATACTTGTAATATAATTGTTCAAAGGGACAAACATGCCTTTATACAGCTTCTGTAGCAATGTATATTTCTTAGGACTTGCTGTGATGAACCTATCCCTCAAGCTGTAGCAATATATAGCTGTCTACTCAAATTGTGAAGAGGAAACTGACAAAGAACTTATTGGCCTTTATTTAATTTAAAGTGACTCATAGTTGGTTTTTCTGCCATTAATCAGTCAAGGGGATTGTTTAAGGTATCTGGAATTTTTCCGGTGATTTTTGAGTCACCCTAAAGGGAGGAATTTGAGTACGTCCTGATCTGAGTTCTGATTAAGGTTTAGTGACAGAAGATCCAATTCGTTTGGTACTTTTTGATGCTTTAGTGCTGTTTTCTGTATTTTTCTTCCATTGTTTGGGAACTTTTGAAATCTGCATTCTGTTTGATATTCTTGTTTGTAAGAATTATTTCAGATGGATTCTGAGAAAGGAGTAATTTTTTCATTAATTTTGATGGATCAAATTATGGAGTATTATTTGTTCCACTTACAATAACCCCTCTTATGTTTCATATACCTCTCAGTTGTGGGGAAAGCTGTTGTGAGGCTGATTAAGTGAAGTTAAATAACTACCCCATGTACAAGAAGACGGGGAGGTTGTTTTAACTTCTCATGTTTTTAACACTGTCACATTGACAGGTGGCTGGGTCTATAAAAGAGGGACCATTAGAATGAGAGGAGATTTTTAGAGAGAGGAGTGAAACCATCGAACAAAAAGAAGAGAAGCCAGAGAGAATTCTGCTGGTAGGAGAGAAGTACAGGTGGTATGGGTAAAAAGTACTTTTTTTTCTTTTCTTCTGTCCTGTTCTTCCATATTTACACGTATTCTTCTGTGGCAGGTTGCCTTCTTATCCTTCCCCTGATCCTCATAAGACTCTGAGTCAAAGGGTCTGCGACTCTTGTCTTATTCTAATAAATTTCACATACCCTTCTCTTTGGGCCATATGCCACGTAGGAAAGAGAATCCAATTAATTTGTGATTAGGACCAAAATTAGTCTCGTCCTGGGATTAGGGTTAAATTTGGTGGATCTTATCCACCCTTGTATAGATAATCCTATCCCATTTGAAGATTTCTGATTGGTTATTAAACTCATATTCAGCGGGTCTTACCCACCATTAAACTAGATTGAATAGTGGGTTCCCATTGTCACAACAACAGGTGGGCCTCAGCAGGCTTTAAAAACCTTACCTTCTCCCAAAAATTCTATATATGCGCTCAGTCTATTTAATACTCATTTGTGTGGTCCAATTTACATTAGGAGGGTCTTACCCATCATAAAACAAGATTGAATAGTGGGTCCCCACTGTCACAGAAACAAGTGGGTCCCATACTATTAAGAGCAAGTTTTAACAGCTTTCTCTTCTCCCAAAAATATCCTATATATGAAGTTGTGAACCCACTTCACTTAATATCCATTTGTTGGATTCAATTCATATTCGGTGGGTCTCAAATACTATTAAAACAAGCCTGAGTAATGGGTCCCACCCACTGTCATAGCAACCAGTTGGCCCCATACTGTTAAGAGCAAGGCTTTAACACCCTTATCTTTCTCTAGAAAAAAAGTTCTATATATAGAACCACTTAGTTTAATATCATTTGTTAGGTTCAGTTTATATTTGGTTGTCTTATACACTACTAAATAAAGTTGAATAGTGGGCTCTATCCACTCAAAATAAAATCATGATCGGTGGACCCTAAATACATTTTGTAGACCATTTCCGCCATTTACCATTAACTGGGTTTATGTCCCGTGGGCCCTAATGTCCTATCCACTATCGAAACAATCCCAATCTGTGGGTTCTACCAATTATTGAAACAAAATTCTAGTCATGGATTAAAATCTCCCTAATTTCCCTAATATTTCCACGGCATATTTCCATTTCCATAGGTAGTGGCACGAAATTTTACTCAAATTGAGACATATTCCCCAATGAACACTACCAGCACTATGTGGAGTAGAAGAGATATAGTTTCCACTTTCCATGACATATTTCGATTTCCACTTCCATGGGTAGTGACATGAAATTTTACTGAAATTGACATATTCCCCAGTGAACACTACCAGAGTTATGTTGAGTACAAGAGATAATATTATAATATAAGTTGCTGACAATATTTGTAGATATGTGGAGTAACAATGTTATTGCCCGCCTAACTTACATGATTACCACTTCAAGCTAGCTCAATATTCATTTCAAACATGAAGTTAAATATTAGTTTTTGTTTGTGTAATAGATTCTTTGGTTGATCTATTACAACCTTTAAAATTTTGTATGTTTAAATTTTGCTTTAACTCATTCTATCATGAAGCATTGAATCTTAAGGTTTACAGGGCAACTTCAGAATGTATTATTTTCTCTGTAGCATTAGTTTCTTGGCTTTGTTTAGTGATTTGGAACAAGATATAATTTAAAAAGATGTGTCAATGCTTTTATCATTTCCACCGACACCAAGATTTTAAACCTTGATTCTAATCAGTGGACCGACCCATTCTTAGTCTTAGTGAATTTGTTTGGTTACTGAAAATAACCTGGTACAATCTCAGGTATACTAATTAAAAAACAGGTTAATCAGAAAGCTAAAGAGAATAGAGAGAAAGTAAGAGAAGAATACAAAAAAAAAATACAAAAAAGAAGAAGAAGAGGACAGAGCATATTAGGATAGTTAAATCTATTTCCTATCTGTCACTCAAATTTCTTTTATTATGTGATTAATAAAATTGCAAATATACCCTGTTTAAGAAAAATAAAGACACCTAACAAATGCCGCCTATATAGAAAAACAGAAAAGGAGGGACAGAGAAATGTGAAAGGGGAATTGTCCTGGGAATAGAGCAGAGGGAGCAGATGTATTTATATCATGTGCATCTTATTTTTAAGGTGATAGATCATAGATGGCAATGCCTATAGAGACTGAAAGTGATAACATGAGGCTGGGCAAGACTTACCTTGTTACTAGGGCTGCCAATGGACTCCAAAAGTCTGAAACCTGATTTGACATTCAATCTGATTTCAAATTTGGATATCACAATCTGTATCTGTTTAATAATTGGATTGGATCCAGATTTGACTCCATCCAATTAAGATCTGAGTTTGATTAGAATTTATTATACATGTGTTTCTGTTTATGTACGTGTGCTTAATATAATTATGTGTACATATATGCATATAGATATGAATATTATGTTTTATATTTATGTAAGTTTATTATATATGGATAGTTAAAAAGTATATCAAATTTGGTTTAACCAGAAAATCATTCTTTTAATTGCATGGCCACATTACTTCTGCAAATTTTATTCTAAATTTATTCATTTTTCATTTCCTTTAATGCATAGGCTTGTTTTTGTTCATAGTTTTTCATAACCAATGAAATGGTGGCAGGATACGTGATGATGTTGAGAAAGAGGATGCTTTCCGAGGTTTATGTGCTATGGTATGATATACTTTTCTTAGTGGTATAAAATTTTGATTAGATCAATAGCAATGTCTTCATTTTGTATAGTTATTATCAAACATTTGCAGGTTAGAACAAATCCATCTGGGGCTTTGAGTTCACTTGTTTATATGTGCAAAGCCATTGCTAGTTGGCATGTAAGAATGACATTTCTTTAGAACTCCAAACAATTCATAGGTTAGGCCTTTCTTTCTCTTAACTATTTTTTTTTTCTGTTCCTTTTTTATTTTTAGGAAATAAGGAGTGAAGATCTACACAATGAAGTTTGCCAAGTGTTAAATGGGTATAAGCAGGTGAGCTGCCATATCTGTATAAGATAACAGTTTATATTCTATTCATGCATAGGAACTTCTAGAATTTTCTTCTATGTTGAACTTTTGAAGTAGTGTCTCTGCATGTCTGCATGCAACATTCCATAGCTGATTAATGTTTCTTTTTTGTTCATATAAAGTTTTATATGAGAAAACTTCCTATAGGGACGGATTTGGTAATTCCTAAATTGAGGTTAGCATATTATTAACATGCAGGTTCAACTTTCGAAATCTCACTTTGGGAAAGTGGAGCTTGTCTAGGATTTATCTAAGAAACAAATAATATCTAAGAAACAAATAAATCTGCAGGTGTCATAGTTATCTAGGCAGCGAAATGAGACTAGGCAACCAGATATTGTCATGTCGCCTAAGTGCTTAAACAGGCACCAACTTGCCATTGAAATATGCCAGTTAGGTTGTAGATTTTGACAAAAAAAAAAAGACAATTTTATTGTATCAGAGGCATGGCACCGTTAATTTCATAAGACAATGGTTTTTTAGTCATAAGTTTCAATAGTCCATACACATAATCAATTCTTTTCAGCAAAGTAGGAAGAGATGTTTAAATCATGAATTTCCATATAGCATAATGAACCCAATCAAATGAATATTACATTACGCTGAGTCCAAGAATGGAAATGTTGTACCAAGAATCTGAAAACATAAGTAATAAACAGAATAATAATATATATACTACATTGTTTAATGGTTGAGCAGAAATAAAGTGCAACATGTGATAAGATGCCCTGCTTGCCCTTTTCCTTGACTAAAAGACACTGGGCATATAAAAGATGGCTTAATATGAAGGTGCATTCAGGAAACACCTCATTTCCCAGATGTCACCTTCACAATTATGCTGATTCTCAAACTGCTGTGGACCAGTTAACAGTGCATGGGCAAACTTATTTTCTAACAGGGTATAAGCTTGCATAAGCTTTCGTGGTTGGTACTTGTTTTTTATGTAACCTAGGTTTCTAAATCCTCCTCGCCTTATTTGACCTGCTTATCCTCCTAAATACCCTGTTCAGCTATCCAATGAAGGATAATATCTGAAATTCAAGCTCTTGCAGTTAAGAATATGACTGCATCATTTTCGTTTATTGGCAACTTCTACAAAATCAACTAGATATCATGGAACTAATAGGACAATATTTACATGAACATTTCACAGATGCTTAGGAATGGAGCATGGGAACAGTGCATGTCAGCATTGGACCCTCCACTGAAGGACAAGTTGTCAAAGTATCAAGTATAATCAAAGGTGTTGTATTGCCCATGCTGGTAGTTGTCTCAAGTCTGCTTCTTCAGAGGTGTATATCTGTGTCTTGGATAGTGTTCCTTTTCTGTACATCTTGTGATGAAAAGCAAAGATGTGATTTGCTTTGAGCAGAAGGTTGTCTGTTGCATTTTAACGAAAGAAGGTGAAGTTACATCCCAAGTTCTAGGATGGAAGTCTGAAGCTGAAGGATGGCAATTTTGAAACCATATTGAACAGAAGAAGCTGAGTGCGAGTTTGAAGGGGGGATGGAAACAGGTCCAACCAAAGGTGTGGTTTTCCAAGCACACGAAAGCTGGTGATTGTTCCCTTTCAATATTTGCACTGAGAAAGATTATATATAGGTGTCAGTTTCCACCTTCTGCTTCATTTTCAGTTTATTGTTTTTATTGTTTATACCATGCCAGTGGATAGGTTTTAGTCTGAAGGCTCCGCTGATTTTGTTAAAAGGGGCTTTACATAAATTTTATTGTTTTGTTTTTTCTTTTCAATTCTTATTGTTTTTGGATTGTAACTTACATTTAGAGATGGAGCATCGAGGGCTTGTATCAGTATTGATCGATTGTCAGCGAAATGACCAGCATTTAGTGGCCTTGGATTTTCTTGTTTAATGAGAGTTGTGTTCTGTTTGATTTGAATCAGTTTATTTTTATGATAATAGAGCGTTTTCGACTTGCAATTTGGCGTGATTTATCATTTTCGTGATATATTAGTAGACCTTATAATCGTCATGGCAAGCTGTAGAGGAACTTTGGTAAACTTGTATTAGACCTTGTGTTTCATTAGTAGAAATATTGGATATAGAGATTTGAAGAAACTTAAGTGAGGTAACAAAAACTACTTGAAGTAAATTCAAGAAAGAGGGGAAGAATTACACTTAGTGCAAAACTGTTTATGTTGGTTTACATAAGGATTGAAATATTGATATGATACATCGGTATCAATAGCATTTGGTACCAATCGTGCATATCGAGCCGATATGGATGTATACAAGTCTGTATCGTATTGTATCGATCGATTCAACCGGTACGGATATATAATGATATGACATGTCACCACGTGTGAGACATGAATACATGCCTTTTGACTATAAAATAAATGATGCAATGATCCAAACCCTAGCCAATGATATGCCATGTCACCACGCGTAAGACATGAACACCTTTTCACTATGAGAAATGCAATAACTTTTATTACTTTATTGTTTAATTGTAATCCAAATAAATAATAAATAATTATGTTTAATAACTCCAACAAAAAATTAAAAAAATTATATATAAAATTAGTATTTTATAAAATAATTAAATAAATAATATATCAAATCTACATTTATATCAAAAGATTATTTCAATCTCAAAAAGTTTATACAAATATAATATTAATAATAGAATAATTATTTTAGTACTTAAAATTTTTAAATTTGCACAAGATATGTATTTTAAATTTTTATATATTTTTTAAATTATTAATTAGTATTTTAATTTACATTAAATTACAACAGATTTATTACTTACAAAAATAAAAAAGTGTTTACAAAATATTCAAGAATATAATATTAAATCGAATTTATCATACCTATTAATCTACGTTTATATATAAAAAAAGAATTTTAATTTTAGAAATAAAATTATGCCTTTAGTTCCAATCAGAATGATGTATATTATGACATTTATTGTAAATAAATAAAGTACATATTTGATTCATGTTATCTGCAGATAAGATAAGGGCTTATCCTTATCTCTTAAAGAGAGTCCAGATTCAAATAAGGATTTGAATCAGGAAACTCTTAATATGATTAGGAGCTGATCTCTTTAAGACTATAAAAGGAGGGAGAGGGCGAACCTCCAGTTACAACAACATTCAGATCTCAGATCACAGAAAGAGATGAGACAGCTATAGTAAGACTGCGCCATATTCTGCTCTTGCACCCTCCTCCTGCTGTCGCCATTGCCAGTTCGTTCTCCACTGTAGGAGCGATCAAGAAGAGTTAATGATATCAGTTTTGGAGAAAAACTGATTTGAAGTCGTGCTCACATACCCTTCATCGAATTCTTGTTGAAGGATTCGGTTCTTGGGAAGAACCACCTGTTGATTTTGCTCCATCCTGCATTGTGTCATATTCTGTGGGAGCAGTCTTTGGACTTTCCTTGGGCGTGAACACATTCATTGGGAGATATTATTTCGTATCAGGTACCTCCCTCTCCTACCTTTTGGTTTCAGATCTAGTTCGGTTCTTGGTTCAAGATTGATACTTGAAAAATGCAGTTTTTCTAAAACAGGGAATGCAATTCCCAGATGAGAGAGAGAGAATTTAAAATTTTGCCCTACCTTCCTATAGGGTTCGACTATCCATATGATGGATCATTTATCCCTTCAGTGGTATCAGAGATAGGTTCAAATCTTGAACCGAAATAGATCAGATCTGAACATGCACAAATGGGCAGAAGGCGTTGTACCCGATTTGCGCAGATAATTGATTTTTCTGGGAAATCGGTTCCCAGATCAATGGCTGTTGGTCTGAAATTAAATCTTTATGAATCTGAAATAAATTTAGAATAGTTCTTTATATTTTTTCTTGATTTATGGTTTGTTCGTACGGTGGAGATCGAATTCTTTAATGGCACAGGAAAACTACGATTTGCAGTTCTTTAAATTTTGGTCTGTAATTAATTCTTTTTTAATTTCTAGACTGAATGTATAGGAATTCGATCTGATGTAATTTTAATATAAAATTAGGGTTTTTCTATTTTATTTTATTTCATGAACGAAGCTGGATGCGCAGGAGAAGGAGATTTCGCAGATGGAGAAATCGCTATCTGCGATTTGATGTTTGAGAAACTACAAACTGTGATCTAACTTCTGTTTTGTAGGTTGTAGATGTGTGAATAGCCCTAGTTTTGATTTTTTATTGTCTTTAATCAGTTATTTAATTTCAGATCAATTTCTTGAATTAATTCTTGAATTAAAAATCAAACCCTAGACCCATTCGAACTAGATTGGACTAAACTGGTTGGATCGAATCTATGGTTCGATGGGGGCTGTTCTTAGCCCTAATTTCACACTCTTGGGTCAAGGGATTGATGTTTAATTGTGAGACTTAATTCGGACCACACCTATAAGGCCCAGTTTTAAGGAGTTAAAACTGCTAAAGCCCACCAACTGTAGAAAAGCTATATGGGCCGAACTGCTTAATGATATTCAACCCATATACCGAGATAATATTAATCAGTAATATTATGGATTAAATTGGGCTTTAATAATGGGCTTTACAGATATTAATTGATTGGATCAATTCTATCATTGCATGTGATGTATGGATGTGTAATGTGCAACGTTCATGGGCCATAAGGACTTGGCCCATGTAGATACGATAGTGGCTCTTGCGCACACCATAACTGAATGCACATCATTGCCATGGTGTCCCTAAAGATCATTGGATAATCTCCCTTTGTGGTGGGCCCGACACCTCCCTAAAGAGGATTCGTGCGGAACCCTAACCGTTTAGGGCCCACCAAAATCTGGCTATATGAAAGTCAGTGGGAGCCACTTTGGTTTAACCTAAATTAAACTAGGGCGTAACTTCGTTCCCTCCTGAAATATGAGTGCATGTGATAGGGAGATTCATATGATGAATTCTTTAAATTCCTTCCATCATTAGCATGAAGATGGGTCATTCAGCAATGAGGAAACGCACCATAAAATTGGGCTATCCATTTGCTGCTGGATCTGTTGGAATGTTTCATAAGATGATAGGGGCATCATAGACCGATGTGGGAGRGGCCTATCCTAAAATGGAAGACTCTCTCACGGTACCTTGGCGTTCACGAATATGATGAGTGAGCACTCACCGGACAGAAATGTTTAACCTAAAATGGCAATGAATCTTGTCTGGCAGAGGCCAAAGGAAAAGCTCATATGATGAGTGGATATGATCCTTCACAGAAAGGTGGTGGGGTTATGCAGCTGAAACAGTTGGCTCCATGCACCCTATGTGATTTCCCACATTTCCAGAGATAATTTGCAGTCTCCGTTACTGAGATAGGAGGGAAATCTCGGAGATGAATAAATGGAAATGAAATATAGATTAAAAGCCATATCTATGTAGATAACATGAATCAAATTAGGTTGTGGACTAAYGYTTGCTTTTTACTAGAAATGGMAAACGGRCAATTTGCAAAGCTGTTGGATGACAACAAACTGAAAGGACCAAACTATGCTGACTGGTACCGTAACCTTATGTTGGTCCTAAGTTCTAAAAAGTTGGACAAAGTGGCTAAAAACCCTGCCCCGGAGTGTCCAAGAGATAGGGATTCAATTGGAGCTAAGCTCTCCCCTACTGATAGGGCGAGGTCACCACCAACGCCTTACACCTCCCCTTGATCCATTCCTTCCTGTACTTCTTCATGAACCATTTCCCTTTTCGTCGACTCCTGTGACTTGTCCTCCTACACTACACCCACCAAGACAACTTCCTTTTGGGCTGCCCTTGTGTGGGTCACGTATCCTCTCTCCTATCGGGAGAGTCCCTACTTCTGTACCTCAACATCGGGAGCCACAACCTCTATAGCCAACCAGTTCGCTGGCTGACTCACTCTACGCTCAACAATAGGAGTGACAGGCTCTTGGGGAATCATAGGCATAAGGGGAGCCTTAGACCCCTCCTTTCTTGCTTGGTGAACCCTAGCGACAGACACAATCACTTGTGCATCTCACATAGTGGAAGTACCCAAGGGAGAGACGGAGTGTAGATGCCTCCCTACTCTCTTCATAGGAGTCCTCAAACGAGCAAGGATGACAACCCTGATAGGAACGACTTGTTCCCTCACCTGCCCTACCACCACTGCCCTTTTGTCACGGGGGTAATCGTTGGGGCCCCGTGCGGCACTCGAAGTGGGCGAGTAAGCCTTTACACGCTTATGAGCTCACTCGACTACCTACCTCCCCTCAAAGAGTACGTTAAGCTTTTGGGGGAGTGACAATAAGAAACATWARAAAKRTGAAAARTCATACTACAGTATTACAATAATGCCATTGGCAATCCCCCATACAAAAGTACATGCATAGCCCACCCATGACACACACTTGGACACTGGAGTGGCGGTTGAAGGCACGATGGCTGCCACTT